AGCTTGGAGTAAGACAACATGCATGAAGAGGATGAAGTGGACAAAATACTCATTTGCCTAATAATTCTGCACTCCCTGTAGAAACAAACAAAGATCTGTTGTTGACAAATATGGAATAAAAAGTCAGTTTTCTTACTGATCATGAGGCAGACTGGTGCGATCATCATCCTGTTTTAAAGATGACTTTGTTTCTCTAAGAAAACTCTAACACATTTAAAAAACATCCTGACACTGCCTGCCCACACATACACAACGCACACCCCCAAAATAACATTAAAAGAAAACCATCAAGTACCCTATGCTGGACATGCAAGACCTTTGCATTTATTTAGGCTTAAGGTTGTGCATGTTATCTGTGCTAAAGTTTAACATCAAAATGTTCTGGTGTCACCTAGTGGTTAATCACCTTACTTACAACATATTTGCTTTGACGGTTGTACAGCAGTAAAAACATTCCTCTTTAATCCAAATTACATCAGTAAAGGTTATTCACAGTAATCATTGTAGATAACTGCTGTGAGTTTTATATTTCCTGTTTCCAGTCAATGGTTTTTTGTATTCTTCAGCCTTATTTCTTAGTGTAGCTTGGATGAGTAAAGAGCTGTGAAAGAGACTTTGTTAAATCTGAATGGATGAATAAGGAGACAAAAAACTTAATTTTTTCAGATGGGGAGAGAAGAAGTCTCTTCCCTTCACATATATCAATCATACAGATATGACCTTGCCAACTGAACAACAGCTGACCCTGGTGGTGATGTCATTTAAATGCTTTTGATTACAAATCAATGCACCATTTAAAACCTCAATTTGAATATTGTGTGTACTGTCATCAATTTTCTTTTACTTTCTTTGAACATAGTGGACCATGAATATCACCTGCTCCTCTGATGGGGGATATTTAGCAGGGGGAAGACATCCTGCACTTTTTATTTTGTGGATAAAATGTGCGAGCGCATCACTTTTCTGTCTTTTACTGTGGATGATGTCATCTTCTGCAGGAAATTCCAATAATATCATATATCCAATAATATAATAAAAATATCCAAGTGACTTCTTCAGTCTCAGCTGACTGCAGGTTTCCCCAATCTTATAAACAGTACATTTGCATAATGACTGAAAGCAGCCACTGAAGGAAGGGCTGGGAGGTCAGTTCCTTAATCGTAATTGTGCAAATAATTAAGATTAAGAAACCTGCAGTCAGCTGAGACTGAAGAGGTCACTTGGATGAGTGACGAAATGTTTCTCCCACAAAACGCTATATCCAGATGAACAGAATCAACTTTTGGAGATCAGAAAGAATTATTACCCTATCCATTATAAAACATCCACCTATGACATTACCAATCACTGTGATGGTGATGCTATTGCTGGACTCCTTAGATTAACACCAGTACACTCCAGTATCTGTCGGATAGGTTTAACCGGGTCATGAATTACATATTGTTTTAATTACACAAATTTTATTTGCCAGTTTAAACCTGACTTTTAGGACCTTCAAGCCTGTAGTTATGTTCATTATCATTTAGAGCCCCTCCTCATTGTTCTTCTGCTTCTTTGGTGCAACCCTATAAATACAGTGTACCCCTTTGGCCTCTCCCCTTTTCTACAATTCCCCTGTGGGAAAGGTTGGTGTCATTTATTTCCAGACACTGTACAACACACATATAATGTATATTTAGCGACCCTGATGTTGCTGATTGTGTGTTTTTTAGTTCAATTATTGTGATTATTGTGATCATTGTGCCTGTCTTTGCTAAATGCTGTAAATGTGTAGTACATGTGTGTCACATATGTGTTATAGGCACAGTCTATGCTAGCATGAATAGATAGTTCTTGCTAGCTTGGAAGTTGTAGTGGGTCGAGCTAACCCTCTTCCATACTGTTTGCATTTAGTTGTAGGAGCTGGAGCGGGCAAAGTAATGACTTGGAGGTCTTTGTTTCTTTTACCTTTCATTGTCAGACACAACACCAGAACACACATAGGCATCCTCGATGATGCAGGACGACTCACTTGGGGTTCCCCAGCCAAATGTGCTTTCCTCAGTCTTTGAGCCAGTGTTTCTCAGCCAGTGGAGTTTGCCACACACTTCACTTTAATTCTGTCATACTGGAAGAACTTCAGGCTGTTGGAGGTGATGCTGAGTGTAGCTGCACAGAGGGAGAGATCATACAGGTTCATAATGGCGATACTGGTGGGCAATGGCTGTGAAAAAAGACAAATTGCATTTGCTTTCTGTATTATTATAATCTTGCCTATTATCTATGATCGTTTGTTATTTATTTATTTACTCTAATGTAACCATCATTTTGAAAAACAGAACAAAACAAAACTATGTTGGAGATGAGGGGGAAAACTGAAGCAAAGACTTGGGTGTTCTGACACACCGTCAGGTGACTCAGGAGGGGAAAGAGGTGCTCTACCTGAACGCTGTATAGTGCAGGTAGAGCACCACAAAGGTCCCACTGTGTGATGTGGCCATGGTGTGGAGTTGTGGGAGAAGTGGGAGCAGTGGGGAGAGTAGCTGCTTAAGTGAGTAGTGTGGGCATGCGGCAGCAGTAGAGCTTGCTGCCTCCTTCTTTGTTGGTTTGGTTGTTGCGATCTTTTTCTGTTTTTTGGTCTTATTGATAGAGCGGCATTGCTGTCTCTTTATATTAAGGTTATATTTGTAATAAAAAACATATTATATGCTAAACACCTCTGTCTTGTTTCCCTTTCATTCTTTTCCGGACCTGTTTGCTACTGTTCCCCACCCCTTCCCCCAGACGTCATTTGTGAGGACGTAACACTCGTTAAGTTAAAAGACAGGTCTTTTATTCATAGGAGGCAAACATGTTGCCACTGTTGATGATTTAGAGAAGAGGAAACTAGAACATGTTATATTACACTGTCGGAAGTATCAGGTGGAGCAAAGACAACTGACCCAAAACCTCAGTAACATAAAAATGAAACTGGATCTTAATGACTTACTGCAAAAGGACTCAAGAAGTTAAAGTTATCAGTCCCTTTTCCAGTTTTTAAAAGAGTAAATTGTTTGGGAGAATCTGATGGTTTGTTTTTTGTTTTCTGTGGGTTTTTTTTTTTTTTTTTTTTTTTTGGAGAGACGTTCCTGTCCACTCCATACCAGTTGGTGGCGGTAATGCAACAAGAAGCTCATTGATAATTGAGGTAGCGCCACTTCCGGGTCAAAGATTGTCAGTCAGCCCAGCTCTTGGGCTGTAGTTGTCGCCTGTTCTCCGATAATGGATTTGAACCGTATACCTCTGCTTTTGCTACATTTCTTTGTTGGAGATGCCATTGCGACGGATTTAGAGCCAGGTGAACTGAATTTGATTCTTTCTATAAAGGTTGATGGAGTGAGTACATACTTATCTAGCCTTCTTTCTGATGGTCTCACTGCTTTTAGCATAGCTTTTAGCTTAAGCATGACACAGCTAAAGCAGATCCAGCAGGGACGTTTTCCCTCTGGTGCTAACGTATCAGATATCTGTTCGGGTGCTATCTTACAACTGTCGTGACCTAACGACACTTACATTATATATGTTGTGTGTGATTTCAGTGCTGATCTTTCATACAGAAATTCTTGTGAAGATGATAATTTTATCCTGTCTACCAAAGTGTTACTTCCTACGAATAAGTGAAGCCTGGCATAGTACACCATGGCTGGACCACTGTATCTGTACAGCTAATGGACATGCATATTTAGAAAACATGACTATTAAGTATGAGGTAACTGATTCAGACCGTATACCTTTTGGTTTTACTGTGAATGTGGATCAAATGCCAGCAACAACTGGAAATAATATTGCTACCACTGTAAAATTAGACTGGTCAGCATCTAGTGAAGACGACTTCTTAGCCTGTTTCTAATGAGTGGGACTGGGTATTGTCAGTGATTTCTAGAATCGATTCGATTTGAATTGGGGAAATTGTGCCTCAGACAGTCAGAAATATTATAATTCTGATCATTTATAAGTAAATATCCATTTTTTTTATATCTATAAAAAGAAAGCTGACACTTGTGAGACTTCATCTGAGGTGTGAGCATCACAGCAGATGCCTTTGTTTCCAAGTAAATGAGGATAAAACACAGAAAAACATGAAGGAGATTTTCGTGGACTGGGTTTTTATAGCAGATAACCTTAAAATATTCTGCAGTAGAACAAAAACTGAAGAAAACCACGAATCTACATATGATCATTACCTGATGCTTCTGAAGTGAAGCAGAGCAAAGTTACAGAGGTTTTATTAGAGACACAGCCAAGGATTTTGCAATTTTGTTTAATTTTAAAAAGGTTTAAATTTCTGCAGTATTGAACAGCAGAAATGAGGCTTTCTTGTTGGAAGTCAGTTAAATTAAAAAAATAATAATAATAGCGGCCGACAGCGCTGTACATAACGGTAGACTTGTGCAAAATAAGCACGCGAATAATGCAGAAACAAGAGATTTTTAGAGAAACATTTTAGGAAACTGTTCTTGAAGTACACAGAGAGAGCTGTGCAGGAAGTCTGATTTTTTTTTTTATTTTATTTTTTTTTATCGAGATTAAAGCAAAACAGCAAAAGTTTGTTTATGTGAAGTGAAATGTGAAGTTTGGATCTTCATTTGCTGCTGGTTCAGTCAAATTTGGTTGGAGAGAGAAAAAACTGCAGCCGATTCAGGATTTTAATGAATAGATATCATGTTATCCAAGCTGGAATCGAATTTAATCAAAAAATCAATTATCAAAACCCACCCCTACTAAAGAGCAACAACTATTTGCCCAAAGAAGCTATTTTGTGCAAGGATGTCAACTGTAAGAATGTTGTCCATAAACAAACTGCGCTCCGTGTATCATTATATTCTCTACTCTGTTTATCAAACAGTTTACCACTTACAATGTAGGCATAAGAACCCTAACATCAGACCTAGCTGGAACAAACATGTAGCCATGTACCAGGATGAAGCTTGTGTAGTTTATGAATGCTAGGCGATGGAAGACCTAAGTAAGGCCCAGAATTTGAACAGAAAAAAAATGTGCGAATGCCAGGTACGCTGTAAATACGCTGTTTATTTTATAAGTAAGAATGAACAACCAAGAGCGGATTCTTTGGTTAGGAAAATGCTTTGTAATAACTCAGTTCAATTTATTTATACAGCACCAAATCACAACAACAGTCGCCATAAAGGTTTTAATGGTAATGACAGGAACAGATGCTGCTGTTTTGGAAGCTAAAGAAATGTTTTTTCACTCGGTCTGAGCTCACGGTCTCTGTAATGGCAGTGTTTCTGTTTGAAACTGGGGGCTATGTGGGTTTAATATCATCATAATTTATATCCACATGCTGCTCCTAGATATGTTTCTGTTGCAGGCCTGTTTTTAGTCACAAATGTGTGAGAAACACTTGTGTTTACATGGTGACCAGCACCAACATAGCCTCCGCAGTGGTTGCTTTGCTCACTGGTGCACTGTCATCACACAGATGCAGCCATTTATACCTGCCACCTGTGATGTCAAGTTGCAAAAATAAAAAGGTGCATGACTGACCGACGCGCCACAAAGACTGTGGGTCACAATCCATTTCACATTTTTTAACACTTTAAGCCAGGGGTCTGCAACCTTTTACATCCAAAGAGCCATTTGGACCCGGTTTCCACACAAAAGAAAACACTGGGAGCCGCAAATACTTTTTGAAATCTAAAATGAAGATAACACTGTATGTATTGTTTTTTTTTTACTTTATGCTTTGTGTGAACAACTAAAGTAAGTAAAGTTTATTTATTAAGCACTTTTCACAGACAGGCAGTCACAAAGCGCTGTACACAAATATTAAAATAAACAATACAATCAATAGACATTATACACAATGTAAAAGATCAAATGTAAATAATGTAAAGAATATAAAATACGTAGATCAACAAAAGGCTTGTTTGAACAGAAAAGTTTTTAACCCCTTAGCAGTCCTACAAATTTTGCCTAAAATTTGTGAAAAAGGCATATCCAAAATAAATTGCATGCTGCTCTTGAACCATTTGGAGTATATGCATGGTTTTGGTCTCTTTTGAAAGGAGACAATCTGTAGTTTGTTCCTGAGGTGTCAGAATCACTTTATGTCA